GAGCGCGCCGGTGGCGCAGGGCGGCAGCAGCGCGGGTAGGCCGGGCGGCGACAGCAGGCGGCCCTGCTCCAGCAGCCGCAGCACGCTGCACGTGGCGGCCGTCTCCGACACCACCGAGCGCAGCTCCGAGTCCTTGCCCTGGTCTTTCTTCTGCTTCGTGCGCCGGTTCTGGAACCAGACCTTCACCTGGGCGCAGGGGCGCAGGGAGGGCGGGAGAGAGGGGCAGGGGGAGACCGGCGTCAAGGGGGGCGGGCTCCCAGGACGCGAGGGCTCCGTGAAGGTCCCTTTCCCAGCCCCAGCCCCAGCCCCAGCCCAGCCCCGGTCCCAGCCCCACCTCGCAGCAGGAGAGGTTGCTGGCTGGGGAGCTCCCTGGGCCACCAAGAGTTGGACACAGCTGCACTAGGCTGGGCTTCCGGGTCGTGGAAGCGGGCCTAGGCTGTCAGAGATTATAAGTAAAGTATTAAAGATGTCCGTGATCCTAACTCGAAGGAAGACCAGAAGGAATTTCAGCGGGCTGCCTAGCTACCTGCATGCAGCCAGACGGGGATCATCCTGGCTTGTGAGCTCACATTTCCAGGAGAGGGGTGAGGCCTGAAGGCTGCTGTGTGGGAAGTAGGGGGTGGGTGAGGAGGAGTGTTGCTCTGTTTTGCTGGACCCAGGCCCTTGGCCCAACCAAATTTAGCCTCTGCCGCATTAGTACTGTCCAAGGCTTCAAGAGGCTGTTACTTGCTTACTGGGGTCAGACCTGGCCATTAACTAGCAGCAAGCTGGGAAGGTGGCTGTAGAAGGAATAATTTGTGCAGGATGGACTTTATAGGCCAAGCTATCTCCACTTCCTCTCTCTGCCTCTGGATTGGAGGCTCTGAGTGATACTCTTAATTTATCACCTGTTCTCCAACATGAACTTTGGAATCATGGGAGGAAGTCAGGAGGCTGGGGTGAACCAAATTCTCTCCGCCAACCTCCCTCTCACTTTCTCATCTCCCTCTGCCCCCTCCTCGGGCCTACCTGGTGGCCCAGAATGGAGTTTAGCAGCTATATGGAAAGGTCTAGATTTTTGCAAACCTAAGAGGGGTGGTAGTAGGGAAAACAGGAAAAAGCTATCGTGCCAACTCAAACTCAAAAAGAACATTCAAGATGATCGGTCTTCAGTTCTCAGCTTTCTGCCCAGATCCCAGACCTAAAATGCTCCTTACCTGCTTCAGGGCTGGGCACAGGGAAAGAGACTGGCCCTCAGAAAGGAGTCTCCCTTACCTAGGCCAAGCTGATGCCATGCCCTCACCAGGCCCCAAAGCTCTCCGGCCCTGAAAAGTCCAGGGTCCAGAGTCTATGTGACTAACTCCAATAACGTCATGTGGATTTTACCTAAAGGAAAAGACCTAAAGCGTAGTTGGCAGTGATGGCTCCCAGGGCCCCAGATCTGCCCCTGATCCCATATATCATTGTCACAGAAGACAGGGCCTCCTAGGTGCCCAGTGGGTGCCCAGGGCTGGGAATGGGTCCAGACTTAAGGGGCAGGGCGGCCTGCCTGCACAGGCAAATCTCAGGCATGTGTGCCTTTGCAATCTAGTTGTCACCCTCAGCACCCAGGTGCCTCTGGCCCCAGCCCCATGCTTGCAGAACAGGCCTGGGTGTTGAATAAGCCTGGGGTCCCCAAAGAGGGTGGTGCCTGGAAATCTGGCCAAAATGGCATGGCCAAGACAGGGACAAACATTGGTTCCTTGTGGAGCAGAAGAGGCAAGCAGGTTATTCTCAAGACTGTGATCTAAAAAGAATTCCAAAGGACAACAGTTGGGGCCTCCTGGGCTAGGCCAAGGAGGGCAGAGTGTAGGCCCTGGAAGACCTGAGGGTGTAGAGGGAAAAGAATGGTTTATGGAAGGGAAGGAATCCTGAGGTCTTTCACCCCATCCAATCTGCCTCCCCTGGGCATCTCTGTCCAGAGCCAGGCTGGGTACCCGGGAGGAGCCAGTTATAGAGATGGGGAGGCAGGCTTGTGCAGAACTGTGCACGGCCTGGCCACCCGGTACCTGGGTCTCGGAGAGGTTAAGCTGCCGGGCGAGCTCGGTCCTCTCTCGGCCCACCACGTACTGGCAGCGCTGGAACTCCATCTCCAGCCGGTACAGCTGCTCCGCCGTGAAGGACGTGCGCGTCCTCTTGGGCCGGTCCAGGTCCAGGCCCTTGGGCAGGATGATCTCTCGGATGGAACCCTTGGCATCTGAGGAGGGGGAGATGTCAGCCACCGGAACCCTCCCGTCTCCCTCCACCTCCCTGGCCGGAGCTGGCTTGAGGACACGGCCGCCAGCTGCCTGCAGTCTGGGGTGGGGGATGGGGGTGGAGGGCTGCGGTCACAGCCGGGGAGCAAAGACACTGTGCGTTTTGGGGAGCTAGGGGGCTAACTCCACACCTATGACGAGAGGCGGAACCAGACTTGGCCTTTATAGAGGCCTCTAGACATGGGAGGAAAAAAAAAATGCCAGATCAGCTGATGATCCTTCAGGCCTGGGAGCCTCGGCTGCGCGGTCTGGGTCCCCTTGTAGCCTGGGGGTCTCCAAACTGACCAGGCCGGGGCCCACCGTCCCCAGCTCTGGGGCGCGTAGACCAGGCTCGTCTCCCGCTGCCCCAGCGCCCCAGCCCGGGGTTTCCTTCTCTCCTGAGCCGGGGCGGCGGAAGGAGGGGGGACCCGGTCTGGGCCGCCGGGGCCTGGCTATCTGTTGGCGGGGGCGGCGCGGGGCCGGGGCCGGGCCTCACCACCGCCGTCCCCCTAGCCGAGCGCAAAACGCGCAGCACAGAGGGGCCGAGTGGAGCACCAAGGCGACATCCGTGGCCCGGCGACCCAGCTCAGCCGCTTCTCCCGGCGGCGGCGGCGGCGGCGAGTCTCAAGCGCGGCGCCGGGGCCCTCGGCCCAGCGCGCCAACTAGCCCGGCAGTAGCCGGCGTTCGGCAGCTGCTCTCCGGCTCCCGCACTACCCTTGGGTGCACTCGGCCCGCCAGGGCGCAGGAGCCCGTAGGCAGGCTCGCGGCAGGTCCTCTGGCTCGCACAGCGCTCACTCGTCCTCCATAGTGTCCTGCTCCCTCTCCCCCGCCGGAGGCCGGAGGCCGCAGCCCGGAGCCCCGGCCGGTCCGCGCAGCCCCTAGGCTCCCCAGCAGCCCAGGAGGCGGGGCCCCTCGGGACTCGGGAGGGTCGAGGCTGCAGGAGAGTGCGCGCCCCGGGTGCGAGTGCCCAGCGGCCAGCCAGACCGCGGGTGGGGGTGGGGGTGGGGGGGAGAAAGGCCAGTAACTTTCTCCGAGTTCGCAGCCGACACCTCCTCCCCGCGGGCCTGCGTCTGGAGCCGCGCGCAGCTCGGGCCCCCGAGTCCTCCCCCAAAGCACACGCGCCCTGCATCCCGACCCCATTCCTACCTCGGACCAGGATCCGGCGGCAGTAATCCGGATCGGCAGTCGAATTGGATTTACTTTTGTTACAATCTTCCGCGGCGCCCGACGCGGAGAAGGCGCCCTGCGACTCCTTGAGGAAAGCGGCGGGGAGGCTCCCCTCCGCACCCTTGCTCTCCCGGCTCTCCTTGTGCGCGTTCTTCGAGACCCGGGCAGCCTCTGCGTCCGAGTGGCACCGAACGTCCATTTTGTCTGGTTTCCCGAACATGGGGGGAGGAAAAAAAAAAGAAAAAAAGAAAGAAAAGAAAAAGGAAGGAAAAAAAAAAGAAAAGAAAGAAAAAAACAACAACAACAACAAAAAAAGGAGGCGCCGCGGGCACAAAACCCTACAAAGGAGCTCCTGCGCCCAGCCCAGAGAGAGGCAAGCGGCAAGAATGAATGTCCCCGCGGGGCGGCTGCGGCGACCGCGGGCGGGTCAGCGGCGACCGGCGAGTGGCGCGCTCGCGGAGAGGCGGCGGATCTGATCCAGGATCCCGATGGAGCCGCGGCGAGGCCGCCTCGTCAGCGTCCGCGTCCTCTGAGCACGTCCAGTGTCCCCAGCCTGGCGATCAGGTAGCAAGCAGAGCGACTCCGAAATGCTGCGGCTCCCGCCTGTGGCTGAGACGGCGACTTCTACTTGTCCGACACCCGCGGGGACGTGCACTCGCTGTTGCAATTGATTACGGGTAATTTCGCAGCCCCCACGTTTCGGTTACCTCATGAATACACTAAATTGTTTGGATAATATATCAGATCGTAATGGATGGTTTCTGTCCTTGTCCCCAATCAAGTAGGGGTTTAGCCAGTGAATAAACGGAAATGACTGGTCTTGCTTTCAGGAAACACACAATCAAAGACCCACACTTCCAGAAAAACTTTTGACAAGATTCATCCTGAATTGTTAGTACCATTAGCAGGCATTATTAACTTTCCCGTTGCCTTTGACCCTCCTGCTCACATACCGGCTAGAGGGGTTTTCTGCACACTCGACAGATAGAGCTGAATGAGGGAGGAGGGGGGGAGGGAAAGAGAAACCAACAAAAACCCTCGCACACCCTGCTGCAGAAGAAAGAGGTTGCCTCTAGGGGGAGGGGGGGGAGTAAAAGTTTTCCCGAAAAGTGTCTCCCCCGAACTCTAAAAGCCAAGCTTTCGTCCCAAATAACTCCTCCTTAACACACCTCGACGCTGACAGCCATCTTAAACGGCCACCTCTCTTCATTTAGTGTTCCCGTTGGATTTTTTCACGCTTGCACCTCCGGTCAGCCCTGAGGCAGCCCATTCAAAGGGCAGCTTTGTACTCAGAGTCCAGCAGGAGAGAGGGGGGGAGAGGGAGAGAGCCGAGAAAATCTCAACTGTGAGATCTGCTTCAAAAAAAAAAAAAAAAAAGTTTTCCCCTAGCTATTTCATTGTCTCTGCTACAATATCTTTGAGAAAAGCAACAGCCAGTAATCCAATAAGAGCATTGATTAGGCTACAATGATTCAATTCAAGCGCATGGCCTTGTGCAAGGAGCATGCTCCAGCCCTTCTCGTCACCTTGCCGGGGCAGAAGCCCTCTCCACGCCGCTCTCCCCATTCATTCCTTTATGGGAAATGCGGAGCAAAAGGAGTGAAAGATGGCAATTATCTAATTGGACTATTAACAAACAGTCCTCTGAGTGCGGCGGTCTGGCGTGGCTCCTGGGCGGGGGAAGGGCCGTGTTCCCTGCCCTCATTCACAAAGAGTGCAGGGGCCGGGGAGGAAAGGGGGTTTTTTAAAGGGAGTGGGGTGGCGGGGGGTTGGGAGGGGGGCGAGAGGAGAGGTGGGAGGTTTGGCTGAGAATTTTTCCACACAATTCCCAGAATGGGGGCGGAGGCGGGCGGGGAAGAGGAGGGGGCTGGGGGCGGGGGTGTCGGGCGAGAGGGGGGGAGAGAAGGAGGGAGAGGGGGTGCGAGCGTGTGCGGTTTGCTCCGAGGGGCTCCCGCCCGCCCGCCGCCCGGCGCGCTCCGCCCGCCCCGCGGTCCTGCCGCCCCGCCGCCGCGCCGCTCGACCCCGTGGAACGTCCGCGGGTGGGAGGGGCCTCTGAGCGGGGTCCTTCGCCCCTTCCCCTCCCCCTCGGGCCCATCGGAGGACCCAAACTCGGTCCGGTTCCGGAAGCCACCTCTGGCCGTGGAGGCAGACCTTGGGCTTCTACTTTGAGTGTGTGTGTGTGTGTGTGTGTGTGTGTGTGTGTGTGTGTGTGAGAGAGAGAGAGAGAGAGAGAGAGAGAGAGAGAGAGAGAGAGGTTGTCCTGAGCCACTCTCCGCAGGGAGGCGGGTCTCCCGGGGCCCGACAGACGGCTGGCCTGTCAGTCCTCTGGAGCTGTCGGCAGCTGGGCCTCCGGATGGACCGTGCCTTTGATTCCGCGCTCTGCCGGGTGGTTCGGTGGGGCCGGGTAGCTGGAGAGCGGGACGTGTCCTTGCAGCCGCCCTGGCCTAAAGATGTAGAGTGGGATGGAGACAAAATCCAGCAAACTCTCCAGTTACCTCCCGCCAGGCGCAAACGCCGGGTGGGCGCCCCGAGGCCGCGAGGGCTCCGCTCCCCGGCCCCTCCTGCGGGCGAAAGGCGCTGTCGCCGCCGGGTCTTGGCTCCCCTTACTGCGTAGCCAGTGCAGGGCCCTGGGATTCGGGTCCTCCCGAAGGCGATCCGGGCGGTGGATGGAGCCCGCCTTTCCCTGTAGAGCTCGGCCAGAGGCAGTTCCCGGGGCCTCCTTAGGTGAGGAGACGATGGGGTCCCAAATCCCGGCCTGTGGCCCTTTCCTGTCATACCCTCAGACAGCTGGCCCGGGCCCCTTCCCAACCTCCCCGGGTCCCTTGCGCAGGAGGATTTGCCGCCCGCCTCGAGAGATCTGGAGGCCGTGGAAAGTCCCAGACCCAAGCCTTGGCCCCAGTGGGGCCACCTTGGTGGGGAGGGGGGTGTGTGGCTCCGGGTCCCTCATCGCTCCCAGCTGAGCCGCCTCCTCCTTTCTGCCAAAGCTACTGAGGCCCGTGAAACCCGCGCTGATACCTGCAGGGTCGGGTCAGAGGCCCAGAAAAAAGTCTTTTAAAATACAAATACTCAGTCCACCGCCTCTTCTGTTAGGTGGAGGAGGGGAACCGGCCAGGGAGCGAACTGCCGCCCTTAGAAAAGTCCAGCTCGGTGGGCAGCGGTGGCCCAGGGAGGTCCGGAGCTGTATATCCGGCACTGGAGGATACACCAAGGTAAGGCCGAATCCCAAATAAGGATTTGAAGTTGGGCATCAGAGACACTTGCCACCCCCTCCCTTCCGGAGAATAACAGTGGCACATTTTGTTCTAAGTGGGAACTGTTTATTGAGCAGTCACGTAGGGGTGCGTGAACTCATTTAATTTTCTTAACCCCTCCATCAGGAAGGTTAATCATATCCCAGTTTTATAGATAAAAAAAAAAAAACAAAGGCTCAGAGAGGTTCCCTAACTTGCCCCAGTCACACAGCTGGCAAGTGCAGAATTTGAACTCCAAGGTATTTACACTCTTCTTGAGCAACCCTGCAGGGCTTTGCCCTTTTTATTCCTGCTTTGAGTTTTTGGAATCTCCGGGTGCTCATGACAGGTATCCAAGGTACAGAGCAATGACCTTAAGGTCAATCCCAGGAATCGTGATGACCAAGCATCAGTTTTTATGGATTTTATCAGAACAACATGAAATGCAAATGGAAACATGAACTTCTCGTTTGTGATAATGCTATTTATTTCTAGCCATGAGCATTTCTTAGGAGTCTATCACCGCCCCCCACCCCCACCCCTACATCAGCTGCCCTGGAGTGAATAAAGTAGTTTCCTGGGTCCAAACCTACTGAATGAATATCTGAGAGCTGTGTCCAGGAATGCGCATTTTTAGCTGCCTCGCAGGGGATCTTTCCACAAATTAAGGTGGGAGAACTGCACCTTTTCTTTCTTTTTTAATGTTTATTTATTTCTGAGAGAGAGAGAGAGAGAGAGAGAGAGAGCGAGAACAAGCAGGGGAGGGGCAGACAGAGAGGGAGACAGAGGACCCGAAGCAGGTTCTGCCCTGACAGCAGAGAGCCCGATGTGGGACTCGAACCCACAAACCGTGAGATCATGACCTGACCTGAAGTCTGATGCTTAACCGACTGAGCCACCCAGGCACCCCAAGAACTGCATCTTTTAAAGTTGGGTAAAGTTGGGGGGCTCTGCTAAGTTTCATGAGAGCTGGGACGTATTTCCCCCCCACTTACTGGAAATGCAAAGGCTTATTGGAGAAGGGAAGAAATTGGGGTATTATGGGAACACACCTAGTTTAATTGAGCAGCCATTTACCAAGAGTCTAGAGGTGTCGGGACCAGGGCTGGATCCAGGATGGGAGCTGAAGCATCTGGGTCTCTTTACAGCTTCACGTGCAAACCCTCTACGGAGAGAACTCATGGGCCCCAGCTCCTCGTGGCTTGGGGTTGACAGCACAAGCGATGCCTCTCTATGTTCTGAGCCCTTGAAGTGACCAAATTCAATAAAGAAACATTCAACCCATAACCTGGTTTTGCTTTTTGTTATGCGTAGTACTTTCTGTGTGTGTGTGTGTGTGTGTGTGTGTGTGTGTGTGAGAGAGAGAGAGAGAGAGAGAGAGAGAGAGAGAGAGAGAGAGAGAG